ATGTGGGACAGCTCATGCACGGAAGGAATCGAAGATAATTTGACTGTTAGCAATTTATAAGATGGGACTATAAAAATCGACTCATGATCAAGCCTCAAACTTCAAAAGCCACGTATCCACGTAACACGGCCCCGTGAAAGGATCCGGGTGCAACGTCACTACATTTTTCTACAAACGTCGAGTAAGTGGGAAAAGCTTATTTCAATAATCTGCCCTGGAGTGTGTGAGGAGCCACCGGACAGGAAGAAGTATGATACCTCATTAATACACTTTTGTAACAAATACCTTGTAACAAATACCTTGACCTAGGATTCGGTCGTAGGCCGCTTTTTGCCGGGAGATTGCAAATTCTTGTTTATTTACTGACAGCTCTCACCTATTTATACTGTTCTGTTTGCAGCCGTTTATTATTTTAGTGCGCTGAAACTCGTCTGTTGCTGAGCGTTTGGTCATTTGTCCGCTGAAAGTTGTTTTCCGTCCGCTTTTAAATTTTTTCCCGGTAACGGTCTCCGCCAGTGTGAAGATACGAACGCTTGTGAGTTTGGCCTGTGTGCTGGTTGGAGAAGGTTTGAATAGGAAAACCACCCAGTCTCTAGTTACCCACATAGATGCTCCAGTTACCTTCATTTGGATACCGGTATGCAATTGGAAGAGTACGAGCTGAAAACTACAGCCCCAGAACGAGACTAGTTTGAATCGGAAGCCATCTATCACCTGCTCCCCACTAAAAAACACTTGTACCACGGAGCGCAAACCCTATAAATGCGTATAATTAACTGCATTGCCGGGGACTGATGACATCTGTATCCTCGGTTGCATCGCTCTGAACAAATATAGACTTTTTCTGTCAAGTTTTATGCTTCTGTTCCAACCGCATTTCCTGGCCTATGAATCCCCACTAACTCCACTTTACTTAGCACCGCACGTGCTAGAGATCGTGCCCGTACTTTCATTTTAACGATGATAGCAAGCTAGCTCTGAAACTACTCCTGAAGACCCCAATATATCATTCTTTGGATTTCTGCCCATATATATATATATATATATATATATATATATATCCACTGACTGGGCCTCTAAGGTTGGCCCGTGGTGAGCCTTTGAAGTTATCCAGGTAATGCATCACACTGATCCCTTTTGACTTTTTTCCTTCAGTGTTGGTCGTCATCTAAAGAGAACTGCAAACCCTTTAGCTGTCGGAGCACCGAGGGAGAAAACTGCA